CCCAGTACCACCGCAGGAGAACTTTGTAGGCTTCCTCAAGAGTGACGGTATTGAAGGAACATTTCGATACCATCCCCAGGCCCTACGCCAATCCTCCGCCTCAATCGAGAGACCCAGATCTCGCTCCCATTGAGAGACATAAGACAGGGGTGGTGAGGAGGACCTACTGTTAAGAGAGGCATAAATTACAAAAATGAGACCAGGGGACCCTGGGGAATGCTGACCGATGTGTTCAAAGGGCGTTTTGCGGTAAGGAAATATAGAGGTACGACAGAGGGACAGGACCCAGTGGCGCAATTGCAAATACCGAAAATATTCCCGTGGCGGGACCCCCCCGTGATTCTCGAGGGGACTCCCATGATGGAACCGTACGAGCGCTCAGAAAATCATGTACAATAACAAAGCCATGGGAGGTCCACCAAGAGAAAGAAGGGGGATGTTCTAGGCCTAGTGGAAATAAAGGATTATGCGTAATCGGCAAGAGAGGTAGAAACAATGATACTAAATTACCTGAATATTTAACAGAATCCTAAGTTTGTAAACTGTGAAGAACGATAGGGCTCAAATCCGGAGGGCGCAACTTAGGCGGGGAGTCAAAGCAATGTAGTTAAGGAAAGCAGAACACAGTTGGGTAATTCCAAGAGTACTCATAACGGGATATCTGTTGTGGCATGAGGCATAGACAACTGGGAAATCTGAGCCGCCAAATAGTATCTAGAAACATGTGGAACTCCTAAACCTCCCTGTAGTCTGAGTATACAAAGTGGCTGTAGGCACTCTGGGACGTTTATGAGCCCAAATATAATGGAGAATCCGGCTTTGCAGTAGACAAAGAAAAAACGCAGGGACCTGAATAGGGAGAGTGCGGAAAAAGTACAGGATCTTCAGCAAGATAGTCATCTTGGCAGCATGTATCCGGCCAATCCATGATAAGAAGGAAACTGCCAAGAATGAAGCAGGGAAGTAACAGAGCGCAATAAGGGGTAATAATTAGCCGAAAATAAGGCAGGATAGGAGGTAGTAAGTGTAACGCCAAGATAAGCCAGGGAATGGGATGCCCAACAGTAGGGAAATTGTGTCTTCAACCGTTCAACCAGGTCGGCAGGGTGCGTAATATTCAATGCCGTGGTTTTAGGCAAATTGATGCGAAGGCCAGATATAGAACGGTCCAATATGACCTGGAGCTTGGGGAGAGTGATGAGAGTATTGGTTAAAACCAAAACAACAGCATCATCCGCATAAAAGTTGGCCTTGTATTGAGTGCCAGCATAGGGGACACCAGAAATATCCGGGTGATTTTGAATGGCTGCAGCTATAGGCTCGATAGAACAAAAAGAGCAGAGCAGGTGATAGTGGGCATCCCTGTCTCGTGCCCCTGAAAATAGGGAAAGATGAGGCAAAAAAAAAACCTGCATATTTGACAGAGGCCGAGATCCAAGCCAGAAATGGGTCACCAAACCCCCATCTAGACAGCGTATATGTCAAATACTCCCAAGAAAGCGGATCAAATGCTTTATAAATGTCCAGGGATAAAAGAAACCCCGGTATCCTGCGGCGATGTAAGATATATGAATGAGATGGATGACTTTACGGATGTTATCAACAGCTTATCTCCCCGGAACTAAGCCAACCTGATCTCTATGGATAAGTAAGAGTAGATACTTATTAATTCGAGTGTTCAGAACCTTTCCCAGAATCTTCAAGTCCACATTTAGCAGCGAGATCAGTCTGAAAGCTTGCGGTTCAAAGGCATCTTCATCTTCTTAGGGATCATAGCAATATGCGCCTGAAGACACTCCAAATAAAGCCAGAAACCCTGCTTCAAAGAATTGAAAAAGGCCGCCAAGTGAGGAACCAGAACGGTGGCAAATTTTTTATAGTAGAGCCCAGAAAACCCATCTGGGCCTGGAGTCTTGGAGGTTTTCAAAGATTTGATGGCTTGGTAGAGTTCAGATTTGGAGATATTCGCATTCAGGGCATCTCGGGCTGCAACGGATAGTGAGGGTAGGCACAGGTCAGCGAAAAAACTATCAAAATGTTCCGCGACAAAGTTGTTCGGTTTCTGGTAAAGAGAGGACAAAAAATCCGCAAATCTGTGTGTAATCTTCTCAGGGTGCGAGGTAAGGCCACCGCCCCTCATTGGAGTTGAACAGGTTTATGTGTGCGACCTAGCGAATTAAGTTTCTTGGCCAACATTGGCCCCGGTTTATTGGCGCGTGTATAAAATAAAACCTATGTCCAGCCCAACGCAAGGCCTTCTCAGCCCGTGTAGTGGAAAGAAGATCAAGTTCAGCAGCCACCACATCTCGAGTTTTCCTATTGGCCATAGTCGGGCAGGCTTTCCAGGTAGCGTCTACCACGGCCAATCGCGAGGTCTATTCCAACATCCTCTTCTCTCTGGCCCATTTCCTGGACGAGGCAATCTGAATCAAGGGACCCCTAATGGTTGCTTTGTGAGCCTCCCACAGGGAGACAGCCGGTTTTTTGATATTTTTAAGTACAAAGTATAAACTCGACCAGTTTCTAATACAAAAACTGAATTACAACCATGAACAGCAGGCAACAGTGGTTCTATACAAATGGAAAAGGATCAGATTAGATAACGTTCTAGATAAATATCAAACAGGCCATCTGTAGCTCAACTGCCGACACTGGTAAAAGAGTTATATTATTTGGGATATACTAATATGCTCTCGAAATAAGAGATGTGTAAGACACCTCATGGGTCATCCCTGTGGAAGAGCCGAGAGACAAAAATCAAAGGAGAGAAAAAGGAGAGAGTGGAGACAGATTGGGCGAATGGACATCTAAAACGCTTGAGTTCAATTTGGAAAGTTTAATGATACTATAGGGAGGTGAAGCTGTTCAGTGAAATCTCGGGGTGGGCATGTTGGATCCATGAAGTCCATGTTTTGAGGAATCTCTCATGGGTGTCTGAGAGAATGCTAGATAGTTTCTCATTTATTAGGAAGAAGTCGAGGCGGCGGTTAACTTCTGCAAAGGATGTGATCTTTAGTGCCTTTTAAGGTCTTTCTCATCTGGAAACGTAAGCGTGATTGTTGGGGTTCTGTGAATTAATTGTGAGTACATGATAGAGATATGTTTAGGAGAGAGAGACGTCCGGTGGCAGATGTGTTCAAACCTCCTCTTCTTGGGCCCCCTGCCGGCACGCCTGGCTCTTCCTCTCCAGCTAGTGCCCACTTTCTTTGCTGGCACTCGTTTGGGCTTGCTCCCGAGCTTCGCTGTCTGCATCTGTTGACACAGACAGTGGGACTTGGCTCCACATCCTGCTCCCTCTTCACTGGCTTTAATAGACAGCAGCAGGAGCCAATGGCTTCCACTGCCTCAGCAAAACTTGAGAAACCAGGAAGTGAGGGGAGAAAATAGCTGCAGAACTGTACAGTGCTAGATCAAATGAGGGCTCAGGTAAGTAAAGGGGGATACTGATACCTAAACTTTGTTCACTTAAACGAAAGGAGTACATTAAAGCAATTCTAAAGGTTAATTTTTTTTATTGTAAAATAAAAAAACATGTCTATACTTACCTGCTGTGTGCAGTGGTTTTGCACTGAGCAGCCTGGATCCTCCTCTTCTCGCCTGCAAGCTCTCCTGGCTCCTCCTGTCTATCGGGTGCCCCGACTGCAAGCAGCTTGCTATGGGGACACCTGCTGCTCCATGTGTCCATTCACACACAGAGCCACAGCTTGGCCTTGCCCCCTCTCGCTCCTCATTGGCTGGCTGGCTGTGATTGACAGCAAAGGCTCCCGATTGCTGTCTCAGCCAATGAAGAGGCAGAGACCCGGAACAGCTGAGGCTGTCATTCACATTGCTGGATCGCGATGAGGTTTAGGTAAGTATTGGGGGGGGGGGGGGGGGCTAGGGGCACTCCTGCACACAGATTTTTTACCTTCATGCATTTTTTACCTTCAGCCTTTACAACCACTTTAAGGTAAAAAAAAAGTTTAAGCTTTAAAAGCTTCAAGCTGTCTTCTGCTTATCTGGTTTGGGTTCCTTAAACCTTTGTGTTCCTGAGGGCCCGTTGGCAGTTGTGATGTTGCACACCACCCAGTTTTAGTGCTTGGGTTTGTCCCATTGTCCCATAATCTAAGAATACAAGTCCTGTGTCCTATACTATATTGTTAAAGTAATAGGCATTTTGATTCACCTGTAAATTGCTCATCTTGGAGTAAATTACAGGACACAGGTCTTGATCATTCCTTCTTGCTTTAAAAAAAAAAAAAAACAACAAAAAAAAAAAAACTGGAGCCGTAAGGAGTAGCGGGGTTTTAACAGTATGTGTTAGGGTGACCCTAGCAAAAGATATTGCCAGTGTCCAATCACCTGAAGGTAGCAGCAAATACAAGTCCTGTGTACTGTTCTGTACTCCTAGACGGGGAATGTACAGGTACATCAAAATTCCTATTTTTCTTTTGGAACATTGGCAGAAGGTCCCATTATTACAAGCTAGCTAGAAGTTTATCACAGTACAAGCGCAGTCAGCATACCAATATTCTTGATTGTACTGTGATAGCACATTCAGAACTCAGTGGAGCAGTTAAAATGGGGTTTATCGCCAGGGAAGGATGGCTTCTATACTAAAATGCAGATTTGTGGGCAATTTGGAATGATAAATTCAGGATTGGAAATTTTTACTGTGGCAATGTATTTGCAAGCATACGGAGCATAGTCTGTACCATTGTATAGACTCCAGATTAAAATAGTCATCTATAACAGAGTATTCTCTTTTCGGTGTGACTGTTTAGGCTCACATTTAGTTTGCTTCTGCATTGGTGACAGATCTGCTTTAAAGTGTTGGTTCTTTTTTGTCATAGAGTTAAACTGGGTTTGTGAGTTTGTGTTTTTCCACAAATTGATAGTTGCTTTACTTGTTGGGAAAAAATGGAATATACTGCTAAACGTGACATTTCAATTATCGCCTTATTATTCACCTTATTTTAATTATGCTTGTTTATATTTAGTTTCTTGTTTTTTTCACCTAGGTTGCCGTTCTTCTCATGGATACTCAAGGGGCCTTTGACAGCCAGTCAACAATCAAAGATTGTGCAACGGTGTTTGCTTTAAGCACAATGACTAGCTCTGTCCAGGTAACCTTTTTTATATTTCTAGGTGCATTTCTGTTTACACAAAGTGTGGCATGTGCTGCTTTTAGCCCCACTACAGTACATTTACTGCGGCATGTGCAGGCTCAGGCACACATATATGTGAATGAGCCTTCACCTGTTTAGGAGCTCTTCATGACAATTAAAGCTATTGCTTATACAGTGATGTTAATATCTTGCTGTGATGAGCATAACTGTGTTTAAAAAAAAAAAAAACTCATCACCATCACCCCAGAGTAGTACGATATCACTATGATGATTCTGAGCTACTCTGATGAGAGGGGTGTTAAAAAAAAAAAAATAAATAAAAAGTTTTTTTTTTATATACTGTCATCAGTCAGTATACTTGATCACTGTGCTGATGCTGTACCGCACCGGTGATGATAACTGTCACAAACCAATTAAATATACTTATTGGGGTTTTTTTTTTTTTTAACCAAAGACTTGTAGCAGAGAATATTTTTGCCTAAATTTATAATAAAATTTGATAATTTTTATAATGGAAAGTAGAAAAATAGTATTTTTTTTTCGTTGATATAATAAACAAAAAAAACCCAGTGGTGATCAAATAAAACCAAAAAAAGAAAGCTGTATTTGTGTGAAAAAAATTATAAATATTTAATTTGGGTAAAGTGTTTTATGACTGCATATTCGTCAGTTAAAGTAGCGCAGTGCCGAACAAAAAAAAAAATTTCCCTGGTCATGAAGGGGGTAAAACCTTTTGGAGCTTAAGTGGTTAACATATTATTATTATTATTATTACATCGAGTTTATATAGCGCCAAAGGGTTTGCTGCTCAGTGCTGCACAATAGAGGGGGGGGGGCAATACATGAAACTATACAACATCAAACAGCACACGAGGGGTTAGAGGGCCCTACTCTTTCGAGTTTACAATCTAGGAAATGTGTTCTTGTCTTTGCAACTGTTGTGTACACACAAAGTATAACATTTTGTAGCAAATCAGGGCTAACTCCTATTGAAAATTGCTAAACGATATCCCATTTGTTTTTGTTTTTTTTTTAAATGTTATTGTAGTGAAAGTTGTACTTGTAGGACCCTTACCTAATGGAAAATGTGTCCAAACTGCTGCTTGTAGTAATTTGTAAGCACACCACAAAACACACTGCAAAGATTACTTTGCAATGTAAATGGAATTATATTATATGCAAACTACAGGACTGCAGTTTGCATGTAACAGAGCACAGAACTTTGTTTAGTTGTGAATAGGGAATCATAAAGTCCTAATGAATAAACATTTCTATCATCCATATTTCAATATTAATGGTTTATGTGGATGGAAATTTATTTATTTATTTTTTTTAAATCCATGAGCAGAAAGCAAGTGCAGTGTCATGGTAATCTATACGGCCTTGTGCCATGGGCTTAGGAGCAGTGTGTAAAGCAAGATTTTTACTTACAATTAGCTTGGCAACCTTTAGGTCAAGTTCACTTTTCATGAACTTCAGTCCAGCCAGTAAAGTATGTTTCAGAGCTTTTTGCCCAGTTTTATTTCTAAGTAATGTTCAAACTTCATGCAAGGTGGCAGGTTCACTTTTCATAAATGGATACGGAGGACTGGGAGGATATCTGGGAATACTTGTTTCTGCAATTGGTAGCGGTTAAGGATAGACTTATACAGTTCAAAATATTGCACAGGACATACTATACACCTCAACGCTTGAATAGAATTTATCCAGGGGTCTACCCCCACTGCTGGAAGTGTACTCAAACAGACGCTGACTTCCTACATATGTTTTGGACCTGCCCTGGGATTCATAGATTTTGGGATGAAGTTATGTAATTTACCTCTGCTCTAACTACTGCTTCCATATCGTTGACTGTGGAGGTCTGCTTGTTTGGATTGGTCGATCAATTAGCTTTTGGCCTAGCAACTAAGACCCCCTCCTTGGCCTCCTCCTATTTTATGCAGGAAAGGCCATTGTGCTGAAATGGAAGATGCCAGAGACACACACCCTCTTTAGACCTCTGGAGGTCTCCAGTGACTGCCTCCATCCCCCTGTACAAAGACACATAGGAGTTCCGAGGCTGCCTGGTTAAATTCTACAAAGTATGGCATCTGTGGACTGAGTCCTCTACCACTAATGCATCATAATTCTAGTATTTATGTAATTGTTTTATTCCTGTACTTCTGACTGTGGGGGCTATGGCCTACAGAGTAGTTTTTGATGGTATCATGTAGTAGTGTGGGAGTGGTTTCCTTGGTCTCCTTCATTCTCATTTGTCTGGGCACTGTGGCGGAGATGACTGTACAACAGCATCCGTATCTTCCCTCTTAGTAGAACTGAGCAGAGGTGTTATACTACAGATTGTTTTGTAGCTGTTCTTGCTTTGTAAGTTTTTTTTCTTTTTTTTTTTTTCTTTTTTTGAAAATTCAAATAAACTGATTTCCAAAACAAAAACCGTAATGTTCAAAAACTCACACAGAAGAGGTTTTCAGACCACTGATCACATACATTTTACTGCCTCCTGGCTATTCAGACTTCATAATCCCTGAGCCATTCTCTGGACAGACTCGCCACATCTCATTCAACCTTGTGACAAACCAATTCCCACCTTCAGGCTGCCCATGCTCCTGCCTAATTACATGGTCCTAGTCAACGACCTGGTCAGATCACCTATCTCTCCTTGAGGCCAAAAGGCACACTTTCAGTGTCTGTTCATACATGCTACTCCTGCAACAGCTTGTCTTCAGGGAAGCAGCTCCAAACCATAGATAGCACCTATACAAAAAAGGCTGTGCGTACCTGCACAATCAAGATGATGGGTTACAGTCAAATGTGCACATGTGGCTTCGTCCCTCCCAATTTCTGCATGCCTCTGTACTCAGGCTCAATCCAGGACATGGAAAACTGCAAAGGCCGGTTTCTCCACTCCGAACAGACATCCTGGTCACCCCCAGTCATGCAAAAGTGAGAAGTCTGGGTGACATTTAATCCTTCGGACACAGTGAAAAGGCATGGCACTGTGATGGGATGTTAATCAAAAACCATAATGGTAATGCTGGCGATCATTTCAGCAGACTACTTGAAACTTGTTTAATGCTGAAACTGGCTATTGGTTTCTTAATGTGACAACCAGCACTTCCATTGTGATCTGTTTAAAACCCCCACACTGGAGCTGAAGGTTGTGTTTTTTTTCCTTTTTTTCTTTTAGAATGCATTACAAAGACATCTCTATAATAAAAGAGAAACAAAAAAGTGATAAGAGCACAAATTTGATAATTAAAAAAAAAAAACTGAAGGTCGGTTCAAGGGCTGCACTGCCCCTTAACACTCCTTCCCTCATTCATCCCCACCTTCGCCTCTCTCTGTAGATCAGCATCCCAGCCCGAGACCTGTGTACAGGCGTACCTCGGTTTAAAAATGCCTTGGTTAACGTAATTTTCAGTTCATGAATGAAAATCCATTGAAAATAATGCCTCGGTTTACAATTTTTTTTTTTGCAATACAAAGCGTTTATAGCCCGACCTGTGCCTTTTTAAAGTGCACTTTATAAAGCGTTTTGAACAGATAAACTTTTTTTTTTTTTTTTTTACTTTTTTCTGACCTCCGGAACAGATTAATTGGTTTTTGATGCATTTAAGAATTTTTTTTTTTAATCGTGTGCCTGTAGAGTATTTATGCCTTTAAAGTGCACTTTATAAAGAGTTTTGAACAGATAAAATACTTTTTTCATACTTTTTTTCTGATCTCCGAAACGGATTAATTGGTTTTCAATGCATTCCTATGGGAACCGCGTTTCGGTTTACAAATTTTTTGCAATACGAAACATCCCGCAGAACACATTAAATTCGTAAATTGAGGTACACCTGTAATTTTTATGTTGATGAAGTTAAGCCCCTGAATAACAGAAAAACACACCAGCATTTTACCCACCACAGGAAATACAGCATGTTTAAAGCGTGTGTGAGCAAGAGGATTAAGCAGGATTAATAACGTGTGTGTAGCCCCCACTGTCTGGAGCGTATAAATAGTATGTCCCAAACACTTTTAATATACGTCCTTAGCACCTCCCACCCCCTTAAAAATAATGAGAAAACTCACACTGTCATAGCACTTAAACCGTAACACCAAGCCCACTACCTCCAATAGATGAAAGTGGAAATTGTTTTACCCAATAGAGTTAGATATGGATGTTCAACAACTCCATACCCTGTCAAATTTTTTGTTTTTGCTCCTGTTAACGTAAGTCCCTTTTTATAGACTGAAGGTTGCTTTTAAAAGGCTTTAGAAAGCTGTGAAAAGCTTTACAGAATTCTTTTATAATGCTTTGTAAAAATCTGCTGTATATATTTAAACAAGCCAAAGCCTGCATGGCTTTACTGCCACAATTTGCTACATTATTTTAATTTTTTTCACCTGTATGCTATACCTTAATGCAGAACTAAAGGCAACATTTTTTTTTATTTTATTTTATTTTGAGTAGAGTAAGGGAGGGTTATAACCCCTATCATATTTTTTCCCATCTGTGTCCCATTGGGGAAATTTCCCTTCACTTCCTGTCCCATAGCTAAAGCAGGAAATGAAAGGAAATGCCTCCCAAAGTGGTCCCTGGTTGTCACTGGGAGTCACCAGTGTCCTTATTGAAAGGTTTCTGCTTTTATTACTGTTCCAGGGACAACCTAGAATGGTATTTGATTTCTCTTTTGGTGATTACAGTAAACATGACAAATAGAGAAGGTGGATCTCCTAATGTGGGCACATACATCTCTCTCCACTCTCTTACACTAAAGAAAAATGTTTACATTTGGCTTTAGTTAAGTGATTTTTTTTTCCATGTACGTTGAGTAAAATCTGTCTTTTATTTCTTCATATGACATATGTGCCTCTTTGGTTTCATTCCCACAGGCACTAAAAGGGGCACTTTGCAGGCATTTGCTGTACGCTTCTGAAAAGGGGTATTGAGCTGAGTTCATACCTTTTTTGAGTATCAAATCACAGCAATTGAATCAATAAATGCAGCTACAGTATATGGTCTGTAATAAAGAGTTGCACAGGAATGTAACAATGTTACAATTTGGGTTCTTACATTTATCTATTGATTTTGAAATAACTTTGTTACTGCAGATAAAAATGGAGCGCTATAATACATTCTATGTCTTACAGGTGTATAATTTGTCGCAGAACATTCAAGAAGATGATCTGCAGCATTTACAGGTATATATGTTGAGATACTGTAGGGTGGGCAGCCTCAGTTTGTTCTTATTAGAGCTTGTTAACACCATAATGTGTATGCATTGGTAACATAGCCCATTTATTTTGAGTGGGCTCTCAAGTAAATAAAAATGGTGTGAAAGGGCAATACCGGTTTTCATTGTTATGCTTTGTTGCTCTTCATGTTTGTTCCTAAATATAATGTGCACTAATATATTTTCCTGTTTGTCCATAATAATGCAAAATTATGTCCAATTGAAAATAAATAAATGTTCTTAATTGCAACAAACCGGAGAATTTGTAGACCTTGGATTAAAGTTCATACATACATATACTAGGGCCAATTTAGACAGGAGCCAATTCACCTACCAGCATGTATTTGGAGTATCGAAGGAAAATGGAGTACCCGGAGGAAACCTGCGTAGGCACATGGAGAGCATGGTGGTTGAAGTCAATCAGTAGCTTGACTGGCTGGATGACTAATAGTGCAGCTAAGAAGTCCTAGGGAAACTTTTTATCAACATAGTTATAGTTGTGATTTAAAGTGGTTATAAAGCTTAAGGGTTTTTTCTTCCTACCTTAATTTGTTCTCTGCAATAAAGTGATTCTAAAAGAATTTTTTTTTTTCTTTTTTAAATAATGAACATCATATTTGCCCACTCCTTGGAATAATTTTGCATGGAGCAGTTTGATCCTCCTCTACTGAGGGCTCTAGAAAAGCAGGATCTGGTCCCCTCCACCTTTTTGAGTGCCCCCATAGAAAGCCGCTTGCTCTGGGGGCACTTCTGCGGGCTTTCTTCCAAGTCGCGTTGTGTGTGCCCATTGACACACACATTGCGGCTTGGCCCCACCCCCCAGCTGACTGTGATTGACAGCAGCAGGAGCCAATGGTTCACACTGCTGCCTCGATCTTTAGTGAGGAGAGAGAGACCGCAAAGCGAGCCCCTGCTCTTGGGCAAAGAGATGGATCGAGATCGGGCCTTAGTAAGTATAAGGGTGCGCTTAGCTGCACACAGAAGGTGTTTACCTTAAAGTGGACGTAAAGGCTGAAGGTTTTTTACCTTCATGAATTCTATGCATGAAGGTAAAAAAACCTTCATTGTACAGCTCTCCTTAATACTTACCAAGCCTGAGCCTGATCCAACGATGTGCCTCAGAGCAGTGGCTCTCCTGGGTGTCTCCCGCTTCATGAGCTGAGACACAACAGCAGGAGCCATTGACTCCCGGCTTGGGAGCGAGCATGCACAAGTGCCCCCAGAGCAAACATCTCTATAGAGGGTCTCAAATGCATCTCCCGAGACCACCATAGGGTCACTCAATAGCACTGCATTTTCATGCATTGAATTAGGAAGCTCATTCAAAGTGGGCTATAAAGCACATCCGTGTTCAAAAATGTTGGTCATACTGTATTTTGTGCAGCATATCACAATTCACACTGAAGAAATTGAAGTACACTAGCTCCAGCATGGGTGTTAGTGAGTTAAAAAAAAAAAAAAAAACCCTTGCATTGGTGTCAGTGCAGTAACACCTCCAGCATTGGTGTCAGTGAGTGCAAAAATAGACCCCAGCATTGGTATCAGTGAATGCTATATAAAAAAAAAACCCAAGTTAAGTGTCAATGAACACCATAAAAACCCACAACATTGGTGTCAGTAGGTGCAGTAATAACCATCGACATTGGTATCAGAGAGAATAATAATCCCCCCAATATTGATTTCAGTGGAAGAATGAACCCCTGACAGTTGGTGTCAGTGGACATGATAATAACCCCCTACATTGGTGTCAGTTGAAGCAATATTCACCCCCAGCACTAGTCAGCGCAATAATAACCCCTGACATTGTTGTCAGTGGATGCAATAATAGCCCCCAGCACTGGTGGCAGTGGATGTAATTATAATAAGTGGTTAGCACATCTGCCTGGCAGCACTAGGGTCATCGGTTCAGTTCCCTACCACAGTAGTACCTGCAGGGAGTTTGCATGTTCTCCCTGTGCCTGCTTGGGTTTCCTCTAGATGCTCCGGTTTCTTCCCACAGGCCAAACACATGCTGGTAGGTTAATTGGCTCCTGTCTAAATTGGCCCTAGTATGTATGAATGTGAATTAGGGACCTTAGATTGTAAGGGACTGATGCAAATGTATAATATGTATGGAAAGCGCTGCGTAAAATTGATGGCTGTATAAGTACTCTAAATTTGTGTCAGTGGCTGTAGCATATCCCCCTAATGACCCCAACAGTAATAATCACCCACAGCCCTGGTGTCAGTACTATAACCCCCCCCCCCCCCCCAACATTGGTAGTCACTGGCAGTGAAATTTACCCCCTGCATTGGTGGTCAGTGGCAGTCAAAATTAACTCCTGTATCCTTCCCTCACCTTGTATTGATGGTCATGGCAGTGAAAGAAAACTCCATTCCCCCATGCTGGTAGTCATGACAGTGAAAGTTACTCTGTGGTATTTTTCTTCTTTTTAAAGCAGTGTTGTGTTAAGTCCATACTGCTGATTTTTAAATTAACTGCTTAGTTTGTTTCTGGAAGACAGTAGACACAATTGATAGATTTTATAGGACGAAATTGTGAAGTTAGGAAAGCCCTATTTGCATAGCTCTAAAGCAGAGCAGATAGGAATTTGTACATTTTGGGGAAAGGATTGCATAAGCGGCACAAAAGTAACAGATACAATTTAAAAATAATTTTTCAAAATACTTCTCCCTAAAATTGGATTGGGATCCCCACTGAATAAAGCATTAAAAAAGAAAAATAGGAAAATATAGGACAGGACACTTGATTAAGCTGAAAGCTCATCAAGAAGCCTCAAAAAATATACATTTTGTTGAAAAACAATTCATTTCCAAAATTGCACACACCCAAACTCCACCCAATAAAAAGTAAAAACAACACTGTTCCTTACACATACAGACCCCCAACCCACACCTTAGATCTAGTCTTTCTACTGTATATAAATTATTAACCACCTGCCAACCAGCAGTAATACATTTACCACTGGTTGGTGGCTTCCCCAAGCAAAGAACTAATAACGGAGTATGTAAACCCAAATAAATGGATTCCATTTTATCCAGTCATATACTCCCTGTCATCGTCTCACCTCACATGGTGGGGTTCTTTGAAGCTAAATCACACAATAATATGAAGACCTAGGGGACCAAAGGGATTCACCTCTAAAAAAAAAAAAAAAAAAAAAAAAAAAGTAACTTCACTTAAAGCAGAGTTCCACTTGAAAAAAAAAAATCAGCAGCTACAAAAACTGTAGCTGCTGACTTTTAAAATACCATTTGGATTTAGTGGCTCAGCCAGTTTTGTTTTTATTTATTTTTTTATTTACTATTGACTTTATGTGTTTCACAGAGTTATTCTATTACACATTGGGTTTGAGGCTCAGGAGGGTTATTTATTATTATTGTATTTTTGGGTCACTAGAGAGCAGCGCAGCACTATTCTTGGGGAGTTTTATTGATGTTGGAACACATTTAGGTGCTTGCAGCAGCTTGTCATTTCTTTGTGGCAGCACATGAGTATTATATACTTATTTTAAATAATATTCACTGATTTTTGTTTTTTTTATTTTGTTTTTTTACCAAAGAAGCAGACTACATTTTGGCCTAAATTTATGAAGAAAAATTATTTGTTTTGCAAAATTTTATAACAAACAAAGAAAATTTTTAGTTTTTTTCCAAAATGTTCAGTCTTTTTTTGTTTATATAGCAAAGAATTAAAAAGACCGCAGTGGTGATTGAATACCATCAGAACAAACCTCTATTTGTGTGAAAAAAATTATATAAATGTTATTTGGGTACAGTGTTGTATGACTGCTTGTCAGTTAAAGTAGCACAGTGCTGAATAGCAAAAAAATGCCCTTCTCATGAAGGGGGAAAACCTTCCGGAGGTCAAGTGACTAATAAAGTCCTCAAGGCTCAGGTATAAAAAGATCTTTAAATGATCCTCTAATTATTCCTGAATTGTATTAATTTTTAGGGGCCTGTATATAATGTGTGAGTGGGGGATCTGTATGTGTAATGGACAGCGATGTGACTTTTTTGGGGTGAAGTTTTGGTGTGTTCAATTTTGGAAATGGATTATTTTTCAATAAAATGTATATTTTTGATACTTTTGGATTGGCTTTTAGCTTAATAAGTTGTCCTGTCCCACATTTTCCTCTCTCTTTTCCCAAACACAAGTAACCAATATTTAGAATGCATTGTATAGCCAAAACTGGATGTGTTTGTGTAGAAGACCTTGCTATAGTGAATATTGTTTGCTGCATCTAGTGCTACTCGGGATTATTGGTAGTTTATTGATTTAAATAATTGATGAGAAGCAAATTCTTATGCCGTAAAAGCATTGATTGCCTGGCTTCGCCCAGGGAATTTTCTGATTTGGTCTTCATCTGGTTTTACAAAACTAATTGTTTTTTCTAGCTTTTTACAGAGTACGGACGTCTTGCAATGGAAGAAATCTACAAAAAACCCTTTCAGGTGAATTACACAATCATATTAAAATTTGTACAATAGAAGGGGGCTGTTTTGTATGCTGAATTAGTACCAGAATATAATCTGTTGCTGGTACACAGAGAGCTTGTTGCACAATACAGTACATTTTGACAGTTGATAGTGTAGGTTACCAGGGATCATATGGAAACCAATAAATGATACAAGTGTATAATTGTTGTGGGAAATTTTCATTTGATTTATCATTGCCATATAAATAAGGGATAAGCTGGTACTTTGAGACCTATGTCCATTATGAACTGAAGAATAGTTGAGCATTTTGTGACAGTCCAAGCATCATTCATAGTTCCTCATCACTGGAATTACAGAAGGTTGGAAAGCGTCTTCATGGTGATCATGTACCTAATGGAGATGTTATTTGATTATTACATTTTTGCTTTTTGGTGACCTTTGCCTAATTTTTAATATTAAGCCGAAGTGGAAAAAATACAGTCAAAAAAAAAAAATATATATATATGTGTGTGTATGTTCTCCAGGTCTGTATAAAAGTTCTCTTAGGCTGTATAGATGGTGGCAAAATAAGTGTCATGTTCTTTACACTTGGTTACTTCCCCTGGTCCAGATGTTATCATCTGTAAAATCTGGCAGCCAGTAGGTGCCTGTCTGTAGCACACCGCTCTGCACACAGCAAGTCAATGACATCTACCACTGGTACAGTTAAGTCATCATTGGCTGCCTTCAAACTGGTGTGCTGGAAGCAGAAGGTTCCTGTTCTGAGGTCTGACAATCTCTGTATCAGGTGAAGAGAAGTGAGCACAATGTAACTGACTGCACTACCCTGCCCTGGTCTATACACCTTTATGACATGGAGCTTGCCTTTAAAGTGGTACATGGCTGTCGAGCATAAATTACATGCACCTGGAGGTGCATGTACGTACATACTTGCAGCAGCTTTCAGTGTCCCTGCCTGAGCCAAATACTGAGATGTTCTAACTGGGCAAAGTTACAGTACTTCTTGAAAGCCGCCAACTCTTCCCCCCTCTGGTCCCTTGGTTGATTAGAATGGCATGACATTTTGGCAATGTGGAGGAATGAAACTGTCTTCAGTTATGTGCAAGTACATCTAGTTGGGCATGGATGCATTTTCTGGTGATTTTTTAGCATTTCAACAGTATTTTTATTCAACTTTTGAATTCTTGATTTAATAATCCAAGCAAAACTGGGTTACTCGATAATTTGTTGGCATTTCAGGTATGCTAGATTAAACCTTGTCAATGTTTAATTTTTTTCGTAAAATTCTATTTGTAATCTGTATTGTCATTACAGACCCTCATGTTTTTGATCAGAGATTGGAGTTATCCTTATGAACATCAATACGGCTTGGAAGGTGGAAATCTCTTTCTAGAAAAGCGATTACAGGTAACCAACGGAGGAAATTGTCAGCTTACATGCTCACCTTAAACCCTCAGAAAGACATGATTTTTACAGTTTCTGTTATCCACCCCCTTCACCCCTCAATGGGACAGTATCTGTGTGAAGCTCAGCTAAGTTATGCTCCCCTCTCCAGAGCTCTTCTGCCTAAGCTGTTGCAGCTACCCTTAAAATAATTGATGTCTTCTGGTGTCAGAGCTTAAAGGGAGCAGTGAGGTCACCCCTCCTTCATGTTACATTGCTCAGATTTAGCAGTTCTCTAGTAGACCTGAGCAGTGCATCTTGGGAAGAAGTAGCTTACCTGGAAGTACTGAGTATTTTGCAGTAGCGACCACTGAAATAAGGGTAGTGACCTTTACAGATACATGGGCAAGATGATGGTGTCTATTTAACGTCCACTTTAGTCTTGGTGCAGCTTGACCTGCAGCTGGTAGGACACTTGAGTGCTATCGCCATCCAAGAAGTGTTTTGAGGTACCTGCCACTCCGTGTCAGCATCTGAAGACCCTTCTGAGTGTTAGAGGGCTCACATGACCCCCCCCCCCCCCCCTTTGTCCAACCCCACCTGCAGCCTAGCCGGGCTGTTCAATAAGTATATGAAAGCTTTTAATTTACAATAGGTTGCACAGCAGTAGGGGTTGCTAAAATAACTACATCCTGCTGGGCATTGAGTATTGGGCATTCTTTAACCCTTTTGCTGCCAGAGCCATTTTTATATTTTTTGCACATGTTGTTGTGCATATTTTAGGCCTGAATATTTGGTTAAAATTCCAAAACATTTATTTTTTTGAAAGCAGAGACACTGGAGAATAAAATGGTGGTAGACCCAATTTTTAATGTGTCACAATATCAGCTCAACAGTGTATCAACCCCACATTTTAAAAAAATACACTGAAGTTCATTTTAGTGCTCACAGATGCAATAGATTACCTAATTTTTGGTAAAATATACACGAGGTTGTGCCAAGTTGATAGTAATTAGAATATAATTGCATGTGCCTGTGAAATGGCGACGCATTTCGTTAAACAAAACTTTCAGTCGACGCTTAAAAAAACCTTTACAGGTCATTCGTTTAGAGTTACCTGTGAATGACTGCCTTGTAATTATTGCTCTCAAGAGGGAGATGGAATCTATTTATTATTGGGGGTGGTATGAGTTCTGTTTTGGTCAAACTTTTTTTTGTTCTTTTGAAGTTCCCTTAAATTTCTTACGATCACAGTGAGCTGATAATGGGGTCTGTGTAAGCTCTCTGGTGCCCAACCATTGGCCGGAAGGTTAGGGTAATAGCATTGATCTCTACTAGCCTCACATAACATGTTCTCAGCTTCATATTGTATTCTGCAGCATATCCCAAGCCAAAAATGTAGCATGACCACACTCTATGACCCTAATTTCCTCTATTAGGTCTGCAGTTGCTGACAGTTCTCTCAAGCATTACATATACTGAATATTATGTGTGGCCTTTTGGTGATGTCAGACATACTTTGGTGGTACACAGACATACTCGGACTTCTAGCCGACATTCCCTGGCCTCTTCCCAACAGGCAAAATCTGCCATATTAATGCCCTCTATTCCAAATTGCTTCTGTGGCTTTAAAGGGTAAGTTAACCTTTTGACCAAAAAAAATAATAAATGCGCATGTTTTGCAGGTAAAAAAAATATGTACATTTATTATTTTTGGTCAAAAGGAGCCTGTAAACCATTTCACCAGCAATCTGCAGATCTGTCAGTAAATCTGCTTGCCCATATGGGATGTACGGACAAGCAGATATACTAACTGGAAGAATGCGTGTGAACTACCACAGCGACGTGGTAGTTCATTGAGAATTACGAGCCGACAGCCGCTAATGCTAAAGCTATTCATTCATTCACAGAACTCTGTGAAAAGAGACAGCTTGTACTGCTGTCACAGGGAGGAGGAGTTCGGGCTGCGTCTGCAGCAATGGGAACATGTTACATGTTCCCAACAGTGAATTTATCCTTTTATTGACATGGCTGTTGAAACCCAGGTCTTAAAATATAGAAGGGTCTCTGAGTCTGTCTTCCCTACCTTTCTGAAAGCAAGAAAAGCAATTTTCAGGAAGATTTTCTGTGCCTCGCATTATGGCCTTTCTACAATCACGTCCTGACCAGAACTTGGCCTTAATCACTCTCGAAGTGCCTTTTTCCATTCTGTTTCAAAGACCACTGACTTTGCTCTTCCTTGTAAAATCTGTTCTTCAATGTGTATCTTGCATTAAGCCCTCCATTGCAGCACCTTGTGCTTCCTTGGGATCTCAACTTGGTTCTCTCTGCCCTGCAAAAACCACCCTTTTTGGATATTCCCTTAGATCACTTCTCCTGCAAAGTAGCCTATCATGTTAGGCATGTGTGCCTCTAAGTTGGCGGCGTTCTCCTGTAAGGAGTTGTTCCTCATACTTCATACAATTTTGTCTTACACCCAAGGCCATTTGTTCTTCTGTAGGTGGTGTCAGTCTTCCACCTTTTATGAGGACTCAGTTGTACCATCCTTACGCCCTGCATTCTAAGGAAATTTCTCTTCATTGCCTAGATGTAGTCAGAGCCATTAAAGTTTCCCTCAAAGCTACAGCTTTGATCAGAAAGATGGATTCCCTATTTGTTCTGTTTTCAGGACCTCGCAAGGGACATCCTGATTCCAAGTCCACCATTACGAGATGGATAAGAAATCTGATCACTAGAGCTTACTTTCTCAGGTGTAAATCTCCTCCTGCACTATGAGCCCATCCCACCAGATTGGTAGGAGTTTCAAGGGCATTTTGGCACCAGGCCTCTGTAACCCAGCTGTGACAATCTAGCACTATTCATACTTTCTCTAAGTTCTACCTTGTGGATGCCCAATTTTAGCAGCACGCTAAACTTGGATCAGTTGGGCCCGTTGGCACAGTTCTGTTTGCCTTGTTCTTATCCACCCTTCTCATTCCTTACTAGTGGACATCCCAGGGTCTATAAATACTTTGCCTGTGTCCTGTACTGTATGATTAAGATAAGAGAAATCTATTTGCCTGTAAATTCCATATCTTGAAGTATAGGACACAGGCCATTTTTTGGTTAGTACGTTGCTTGCTATGGAACTGAGAATTTGCAGAGTGTTAGGGTTATAGTAGAGACACCGAGGGGCCTTGTCCTTTGAAAGTGTTGCCAGTGTCCACTCACCTAAACGTATGTGCCTATAACCCAGGGTTTGAGTATTTTGCTTTGTTTCCTGTACTGTGCTCCCAAGATATAAAATTTACAGGTAAGTCCAAATTCCAATCCCCCCCCCAAACAATAAAAAATTGTAAACGTACAAAAGCTATATACACATGGAAGAATAAAAAGCTAAATGGCTCTGCTAACCAATGAAAAGATGTTTAAATCAGAGTTCTAAACTCCAGCCAGATGTATATAAAAAAAACTGAATCCAGATTTTTTAAAATAAAATTCAATATATTTTACATATAAATGCTGTTAATGTAATATGTCTTGCTCTTGCTATATTTCCTGTAATCCTCTGCACAGTAGGACTCTTGCTGGGAAAGGCAGGGCAGCAGTCTGAACAAAAAAAAAACGCTTCTCATTTCATTATTCTGGTTGGGCCAACAATCGGGTAGTGGCTGTAGTAAAGGAGAGTGAGGTCTATGACTAAGCCATGCATGAATGTGTGGAGCACAAAACTGTTTCAGCAGAGCTACAAATCAACTTTGACTGTACATGTTTAAAGATATCCTGAAAACATGAACTTGCATTACTTAGAGTGCAGTTGAGAATAATTTTTTTAAAGCAATTAAGTGTTCCAAAATTCTGATATCCCACCTTCTTCTCCCAACCAGTGTGTCTAGGAGAAGCAGCGATCAGGGTGATGTGGTATAGAGATAGGTATAGATGAATCCGAGTAACTTGCGCGCCACAGGTGTGATAATTACTAGAGGATCGCAAACATGAAACACATAACTACAACTGTGTTGGAAATCTCTACAAATATATGTTGCGCTCCTAAATACTTCTCAATAAATAATAATTAAATTAATTCAAATTATGATACAAATAACTAATAAAAGTGTATGAATACCAAAAAATATTTAAATAGATAGTTTCAACTAATCAATCTCCTCCAAATAAATATCAAAATAATTCCACATGAAATACTTCTCTAAAAAAAAATTTTTTTTTTTTTTTTTTTACCAAGTGCTCATAAATCATCTATTAGTGACATGATGTACTTACTAATACCCTCAATTTCATTTATATTCATAGTACTCTCATTTAATATAATAAAAATAGTGAACCAACTAATAACCCTCAACTAAAACGCATTTAGATGATCCCCCTATCACAACCCCCTGATGAAGCCACGTGATTGGAGGCGTAACGCGTAGGGGAGGGGCTACGTCATCACTCGGAGAGGAGCCGCACAACACGATAGACGGCAGGTGTATGACTCGGAGGCCAGCAGAGGATTTCCAGTGGGATATTGTGTTACTTAAACCTGTGTAATGTGAGTTTAATACTTGGATGGTGGGAATAAAAAGTTTTAAAAGGTAAAGCACTATGTCCTCTATTTCTTCCTGCATGCGGAGTAACACAAGGAGAGGATAATTAGGAGGTCTGGGATAACAAAAGGAGTGTGTAATCCCTGAGGGGATAATCAGCCACCAGAGGATACATCCATTACTCCTAAAGGAAGGATCTCCCTATTTCACCAGCAAAAGTATATGTCTAGCAGGTTCCAGGGAAAGTGAACCGAAAGCGTGTATAGCCTAATCATACACTTTTATTAGTATCATAATTTGAATTAATTTAATGGTAATAATTTAATTATTATTTTTTGAGAAGTATTTAGGAGCGCAACATATATTTGTGGTATAGAGATAGCCATGAGATCATTTTTAACATAATCTGTATTTTGCTTTGCCCAACAGGTGAAACAGAATCAGCACGAAGAGCTGCAAAATGTCAGGAAACACATACACTCTTGTTTTACTAACATCAGCTGTTTCCTCTTGCCTCATCCGGGTCTTAAAGTTGCTACCAACCCCTATTTTGATGGTAGATTAGTAGGTGAGCGTTTTGTTATTCTATATAGAAAGCTTCTTCCCCATGTTTAGAGACTGTGAAATGCTGGTAGCTATAACTCTCCTACTCCCATTAACACCCAAATCCCCCCCACCAGGATTTCTTTAACCTACAGCTTACTGAGTTCCTCCTCATTTTCATTTTCCCTGTTGGGACCTGTGGTTCCATACTTTTCTTTCCCTTCTTTTTTTCTGTTTTTCCTGTGACAATCTTCAATCAACAGCCGGGCTGGGTGACAGGCTGGATAATCTAGATCCTGGTAGTCACCCCAGCCTAACCAGTGAGCGCACACAGACCCTGAGCCATACGTTGAGTCAGCTATGACGAGCCCCATCCTGGACCAGGGCGGCCAAGTCTTTTTTTTCTTCCTCTCCTGTTGCTCTGGCCCTGGGTGAGCTGGGCTCCTTTCAGTCCTTGCTGGGGCCAGCAAAAGTGTACTCTTGCTGGGGCAGTTGTCTTTCAGCAGTACAGGGTCCCCCCATTCTTCCCCAGGGCCTGCCATGAACCAGGTTGGTGGTCGGCAGCCATTTTATTGTAGCCTCAGCGGCCAATTTTTGTTGGGTGCGCAGGGGGGAGCTATCGAGCATTTTGCCTCTAACCAGGTTGGCAGCCATTTTTGAGTGATCTGGGTTTGCGGGCATTTTGGTTAAGGTCATATTTCCATGTATTAGGGCCTGGATGGGTGCATGGCGGCCATTGTGCTGATGATCAAATGGTGACCACATGGCGGTAGTCTTTGTTGGCTCATGTGCAGGACCTGTGTGGAGGGGGCGGTGTGTACAGGTACTCTGGCCTAGTTTTTGGCGCGATTCTCCTTTCAGCCCCTCTCTCTCAACTGGCGGATTCCTTATAGCACGGCCTCTCGGTTGTCTTGGGTCACATTATGGTGAGTCCAGCTGAGGTTCCCCCTGTATGCAGCAGCTGTGTATGATTATCCAATATACATGGGCAGTTTGGATCCCAGAGGTACCTGGGCTGGGGCAATTTGCAGACCTATGCATTGTCTATAGGTTAAACAAGGCAACCATTATACCAATAGAGGGGTCACCTTCCTTCAAAGGCCCCAAAGACAAGAAAGGTGTAATTGATCCCTCACTCTGTTTACGATTGCTTGCTCAGCCCTCTTCCCGGTTTTGGCCAAGGCCCTTATGTCTCAGACACTCGCTGAGGGGGCCAAGCTTTTACACCGCAATCTAGGCACCTGACTCTCCATAGCCTAACTAAGCCCTTGTGGGCTGGCTAAATTTCCAATACATGCACAGACTAATTCTGAGGACTTTTGGGATCAGTGCACTCCTCCTAAGCTTTATTGCTAAATTTATCCTACAGAAAAGGATTAGCTATTCTGGTAATGGATCCTGCCGCTTCAGTTCTCAAAGAGCACCTTACAATTCCTATTGAGGATGTTCCCTCTTTAAGGATTCTTTGATAGGTGTGTTGAAGCCCTATTAAAGAATTTATTTGCTCTTGCAGGCCCAGCCCTGCAGCCAGCTATTGCTGTCATGTTTGTTTGCCAGACTATTGCAAACTAGTGAAGACAGATGAACCGTGACCTGTAACCTGTCTTTGATGACCCTGTTGTCATTGAATGCTGCAACTGATGTCTTTAGCATTATTGTTTTGTGTTGACGCTCAGGAGAATGTAATTTGCCTTTAGTCTTTAGAATATACCTCTTCTCCCTGCATATGCACAGGATTTTTCGGTTAAAAGCTTTCTACATATGCCTTTTTGACAATGAATGCCATTTTGGGAATCCCTGGATAAATTCAGAAAAGGAGTTCACTGGGGGGGAAAGGTACTTTTTTTTTTCTCCACAAGAAAAATTTATTAATTGCTCTCCCCAGGCATCTACTCCAAACCAAGGTTTAATACTTCTTTTGTTGCAAGGACTCCCCTCACCTTGGAAATAATGGTTAGTGTTTGCACGAGTCTGGATCCGAGACACCCCAGACCTCTGGGTCCAATCTGTCATTTCAAGGGGGTACAAAATAGTTTCCATCTCTGCCCCTGCTCACTTTTTGCATTCTAATCTGTCAGCTTTAGTCCAAAAGAAGGCAGTTTTTTTGACCATTTTTCACCAGCTTGTACCAGTGATTGTACCAGTTAATTCAGAGTAATTGTTTCAATTTAAAACTGTTCAGTCCCAAAACCAAATGGGGGCATACACAGAATCATCTTCCAAAATTCTGGGTGGAATTTATAAGATCGGTCATTGCTTCTCTTAGAAAAGGGGAGTTTCTGGCATCAGTGGACATAGAGGATGTCCTCATCTTCTCACATCATGACTGTGTTTTGCTGTGGAAGACAAAAACATCCAATTTGTTCAATTACCATTTGGGCTTTCCTTTACGTCCCAAGTATTCACAAAAGCACTTTTTACAGAACCACTTTTGACTCTTCTGTGAACACAGGGCATGTCACAGGTGTCATTGACAACCTCCTGCTGAAGAACTGCTTAGCCACATCCTTTCCAAAGGACCAACCTTTGGCATCCAAAGGACCAAACCTTTGGCTAACTAACTCAGTCTGCTCTCCAGCCCTTACACCTTCTGGAGTACCTTGGTCTAATATTGGACACAGCCCAAGCTAGAAAACTTTGTTCCGCTGGAGAAAATTACTTTCCTAAGGTTCCATATGCGGCCCTTCAATTAACAATGATACCTCTTAATTTGCCTCTACATGAGAGTTTTGGGGCTGATGGGAGCCTCCTACAAGGCCGTTGCCCTGGCCTCGGTTCATTCCAAACTTTTGCAATCCAACATACTCATGACATGGAACAAGTAAATCCGATCCTTGCATCGCTCAATGCTTCTGTCCAGCCAGAGCTCTCCCTGACATGTTGGATCCCCAGTCCTGCCCTGGGGTTTGGGAAATCTTTCCTTCACATGCTCTGAAAATTGACAACAGATGCAAGTGTTACAGGCTAGGACAGAGTTTACAACTCCCTGACTGGCCATTGGAAATAGTCCTCACAGGAACTGAAACTTCCCATCAACATTCTGGAACTGAGAGCCTTCAGATTATATCTGCCATAGTGGAACTCCTTTCTGAAAGGTCACTCAGTCAGGCCACAGTTGAACAATGCCACAGCAGTGGCCTACATAAACTATCAAGGGGTCACCAGAATCAAGCTACTCTAAAGAAAACAAGTCTGATGCACCCCTGTGCAGTAAGGCTCGTTCACACTAGTGTTGTGTGCAGGCGGCAGAGAGGCGTTTTTACCGCTTCCCAAACGTCTCGGACAATTCTGCACATTGCAGCACATGGTGCTGTTCTAACGCGAGCGTTAGCGTAGTGTTGCGGCAAAACAGACGCTTCTGGTAGAGTCAGGAGGCGTTGAAGCCTCCTATTCTAGTCTATGGTGCCGCTCCGCAAACGCCCAGCTGGCATTTGCGGCGCGTTGCGGGGCGTTTGCGGAGCGGTAACACCATTTAAACTTCATTATAGGCGTTTGTGGGGCGTTTTTAACGCTTGGCAAACGCCTAGCAACCGCTGCTAAACCGCGCATGTGGCGCGTTAAAAAAACGCTCTGCAAACGCTGGACCAACGCTTGCCAAACGCTATAGGGGCGTCTGGCAAGCGTTGGTAAAACAGTCAAGTGTGAACGAGCCCTAACTCTCATTCCAGCTCTCTCTGCTGTCCACACCCCAGGAGTTGACAATTAGCAAGAGTTCTTCCTAAGCCATCAATGTGTAGTGGTCTCTATGCCTCATGGATCCTCTATCCTTCCCAGTAGATTCTCTGGTGATTCCTTGGAGTCAGTTAAAGCTGGTTTATGCCTTCACTCTGATGAAGATCCTCTCTTGACTACTGCACTAAATGGAAGAGAAACAGGGTTCCCGGTGATTCTCATTGCACCAAATTGACCCAGAAAGATGTGGTGCATCGACCTACTCGAACTTCTGATGATTTAGCCATGGCCTCTTTCAGACAGGCCAGACTTACTGGGCCCATCCTGCTTCTCAGTAACTGGCTTTAACCACATGGCTGCTGAAACCCTAGTCCTAAAGGATAGTGGTGTTTCTGACTTACTCCTACTTTACTCAGAACAACAAAATCCAACTCTTATAAGATTTACTACTGTACTTGGAATGCTTACGTTGCTTTGTGTGAAGACCGGAATTCCCAAGGAATACTCTATATTGCTTGTATTTTGGCCCTTCTTCAGTCTTCTCTTGACCAGTGTCTGGCTTTAAGTAAATTTTACGGGGCAGGTTTCTGCTTTATTCATGCTCTTCAAGAAACCTCTTGCCTCACATTCCCTGATAAAGAGTTTTCTTCAGGGACTTGCTCATAAATCCCCCAAATAGAGCTTTTGTGTCACTTTGGGATCTCAAACTGGTGCTCTCAGAGACCTCCTATTGATCCAGTTTGAGAGATTCCATTGGAAGGCCTCACTTGTAATGGAAACCAGAAAGGCAACCTTACATCTTTTAGGCATGTGTCTTTCTTGTTTTGCACTAGAACAAAGTGATTTTGAGACCAAAACCTTCCTGCCTACCTAAATTGGTCTCTGGTTCTTTCCACCTCAATGAGAACTTTGTTCTTGATTCCCTTTATCCTGTCCCAAAACATGACGTGGAAATTACTCTACGTTGCCTGGGTGTGGTTAGGGCTGTCAGTCTACCTGTGTGTACTTCCTTTTGGGCCCTTGTAGAGGGCACCCTGCTTCCCGCGATACGGCCAGATGAATCCTTCAACTTCTCTCCAGGGTCTCTGCCCTCGGGTACAGACTTCCTTCTTTCTCTGTTTGAACCCATTCCATCAGGCCTGTGGGTGTTTCTTGGGCTTTTCAGAATCGAGCATCTGCATTCCAGATTTCAAAAGGTGACCACCTGGTCTTCTGTTCGCACTTTTTCTATCAGGTTGATGTTCAGGCCTCAGCTGACTCGAGTTTCAACTGCAAGGTGTTATCTGAGTGTTTTGTTTGGGTTCTTATACCCTTGTTTTCTTGTGAGCCTGTTGGTTATGTTGCTGCCCACTCCTTTTAGTTTTTTGCATGTGTACCTTGCATGGTCTGTGAATGCAAGTATTGCACTGTACAATTAAGATAATTGTAATTTTGACTTGTTTGTAAATTCCTTATCTTGGAGTACAATACAGGACACAGGCCCCTCTCCTTTCCTTTATTGCTTGCTATATATATATATAAAAAAAAAAAAATAGGGGCTGCCCTAGAAAGTGTTGTTTTTTTGGGGGTTTTTTTTTTTTCCCCCTCTCTGCTAGTGTACAATCACCTGAAGGTAGCTGTATATAGCCCATGGTCAATGAATACAATCTCTGTTTTGTACTGTTCTCCAAGTATTTCACAGGACAGTAAAAATTCCAGACTTGTATAGCTCCACTCCTAGTATGACTCAGGTTTTGCTAGTATCCTAGGAGGGTGGACATCTTTTCTCTACTGAGAAACGTTTACCTGGAAAACAGATAAACTGTTTACACCTTCCAAACATTTGAGGTCCAAAATCCATTCGAGGAGGCCTTAATTAGGAAGTGGACTGTCCCGCAGTTGATCTGGCAGTATCCTGCCTTAAAAACTAGTGCATCCTCTACAGGAATCATCAGAGCTTTTTTTAAGTTGCCATGACTTATGAGGCAGTGCTTGCCAACTTATAAATGGAAATACAGCCCATGGGTTCTAATGCTGATACCAGTCAAAGTTCTCCAAGACCACTAAAGCTTTTCCTATGCACATGGATTTTCCAGAGTCCCTGGCATGCCCTGTATTACAATCTGACATGACATTAATGTTTCTCAAACCTTAGAAAAATGGACAGAACTCTTGGCAAGGGATCCAGCTTTACTCTGAACGAGATTTAGAGTGCATGCCAAAAGTCCTACACTATTGTGTATATTAGTGGATGTCTTCAGTCCTGTTTTTCCATATGAGTTTCTGATCAGCAAACATGCATAGGACGGTGTTTGAAAAGTTGGTCTGCTAAGCAGGCATGTAAAGAGCATTTGCTGCACAAGCCCTTTGAGAGCTAAGTTCTCTTGAAGTCCTGCCTTGAACGCCCTTATAATGAATGTTACTGGGGAATAAGAGTACTTATCTACCCCAACGAAAAAGGCTAGGACTCAAGCTGAGTATAATTCTCTGAAACAGAGTTCTTTTCATTATGGCAAAATCAGGAGCCCATTTTCACCGCAAACCCTGGGGCCCCTAAATTCCCCAAACCTGCAGACAAGTCCTCTTTAGCATGAAGGGATGCCCCCACTTTTCAAAGTGGAGTACATCTGTTTTCAAACATTTGGACAAAATACTTCTCGGATGCCTGGGTATGGGAGTTTGTTTCAACAGGCTTCAGGTCTGATGTCAATCGCCTCCTCGCTTCATGTCTTCCAACCTTCAGGTGTCACCTCTCCTATTAGCATACCTTCAGACAGCCCTTGTTGCTCTTCTGAAGCAGGAGGGTTTCGCCCCAGTTTGTTTCCAAAAGGTTTGAGGGTTTTTTTTCCAACCTTTTCACAGATCCAAAACCAAAAGGAGTCATATGCCCTATCTTATATCTCAAGGTCCTGAATGCCTTTATTTGCTTTAGAATCTGCCTTTATCAAGAGGACTTTCTGACCTTTGTAGATATCAAGAACACATACTTACATGTCTCTATTTTTTTCAAAACAGAGGTGACTTCTTCACTCTGCTGTGGGTTTTCAACACTTCTAATTTGTAGCCCTGCCAATAGGTCTGTCTTCAGAGCCCTGTGCTATCATCATGGCTCAGATATCCAGTTTAAGGCACAGTCAGCACAGATGGTTCAGACTTTGAAAAGGTTTGCTTGGATCCTGAACCTCAGAGGTCTTCACTGGCGCCAACCTATCGCTTTAACCAACTCCATCAAACCTGGACTTTAAATATCGTGAATGGTTTATGTAGCTTTTAGCTAGTCCCACCCAATTTCCTCTCCTGTTCCAACCAATATTTGTGCATATTCATCTAATACTTTGGTTTCTGAAATGCTATTATCTCTTTTAGACATAGATGAAGAGTTCAAAAAGGAGCTTCAACATCTAGTTCCTTTACTACTTGCTCCTGAGAGCTTGGTCGAAAAAGAAATTGGTGGAAACAAGGTGACTTGCCGAGATCTCTTGGAATACTTTAAGGTAAGTTCACCTGGTTGTTAATGCAACATGCCTTTGTTGAAGGTAAAATAGTGATATAAACCATCTATGCAAAGCATTGCATCACTATATAACCAAGAAAAGGGACTGCAAGAAGAGATTCTAAGCACAAATTGCTGTGATTGGAGTAAAGAAAAAAAAAAAGTATTCATTCTGTCATGGTCTGGGTCTTGAAGAGAAAAAAAATGTACAGACCCTGTTATTTCGGCTGCTTTCATAATGATACGTTTTTGTTGTTCTGTTTAAAAAAAAAAAAAAAAAAAAAAAAAAAAAAAGGAAGAAAAATGCAAATGACCCTATTAACACCTGAACAAAAGCGCATTAAAAACTGATCAATGTGAAATGGCCATTTAAACACGCATCAAACATTCAGCAAAAATGTGCAGCAAAGAGAACTTTTAAAAAACGCAAACTAAAACTATAAACTGTGTAAAAGAGTTCCACAGGATTTAAAGGGATGCACTTTTCTTCTGCTTTTTTAACTGAAAAAATGATCAGTGTGAAGGGGCTTAGTTAGTTCTATCAGTATGCAGCAGATAACTGGTTAAAGCTTGTAGGAGGAGTTTTCTTTCTGCTCTAGGAGGATGCAGAACCCCTGACCTCTGTCTGGACAGTGCTGATTGGTCCTGTGCTGAGCATATGCGCTCTCTTAAGCAAAAAAAAAAAAAAAAAAACCCTCTCTAGCTATACACACCAAACTGAGTATGTGCACAGTGACTTCACACGATATGTCTTATCAAGAGATAAGAGGAGGGCACTGGAAGTGAGTATATCAAGCATGCTTTATTGCATATACAGACTGATTTTACTGTTGTGGGTTTAGTAACACTTTAAGAAAAAATGTTGCAATGAAAAATAGGATTAATATTCATATAACATATTAGGAGAAGCATGTGAATATTTGTATGAAAACTCTAGTACAGATAATTTTTTTTTTTTTTTTCTTTCGTTTTTTTTTACTATTTTGCATTTACATTTTTTTTTTTCTCATTCAATGTTTTTATTAGATTTTGTATGGTTACAGTATATTGATATTTGCAACAAACAAGTGTCATGAACCCTAAAAAGTAGAAAGGCAATGCAATGCAATTGCCAATGATTCCACAATACACTAATTAAATACACAGTATGATTGTTGTGTCATTCAAAGTAGAAAAGGCCTATGTGAGCAATACAGAAAACACATATGAGCTGTTAAGAACATTTGTAATTAGGCAGCCTAGGTGTATAGGGAAATGGAAGGAAGGAAGGAGAAAAAAAAAAGATGGGAGGGGTGGGCGTTTGGACAGACCTGTAGAGGTTGTTAAGATAATAGGAGATCTTGGTCAAATCCTGCAATGAGGTGGTGGGAAATCCATGGCCTCCAAATAGTCTGAAAGCATTTGACCTTGTCCAGGTGTTTTTCCTGGATGTGCTAGTGGATAACATCATTGATCCTTGTTTTGTCAGTTGAAGATAGAATGGCAATCTCCCACACTTTCGCAATTGTTTGCTTGGCTGCTGTGAAAAAAATGGAACTTGAATTCAAATTTATTTATACCCAGGGTGTGTAGAAAATGTGCCAACCTGTCCGCAGGTACCTAAACATACTGAGGAACACCCAGAAGCTTATCTGGCCACCCTTGAAGGGACAAGGTAGTTAAAAGAAATTATATTTCATCTCTGTTTGCCAGTATGTTAGTAGAGCAGGATTTGGTGGATTCCCAGGTTAGGGCCCAGTCAGATGCTTCCAGGTTGAGTCCCAGGTTTGTCGATCATTTTTGAGTATAGGCGGGCAAATGTTGTGAGGTGGCTGACATGAGTTGTGAGTAGAGGAAGGACATCATACCAAGGGTGTTTTGGGTCTGAAGCACACTTAGATTCAAAAGACAATAACATTCCGGTGGCTACTATGGCCCGAGTTTTAACATCCGCTTGCATCGCTAGGAGTACTGATGCCTGGATGCATAGAGTAATTGATTGCGTCTCTCGAGGATCCAAGAGGGGGTCAGTCACAAGAAAAGACCGACAAGGGAAGGATACCAGCTGGAATTCTCTTCACTTTCCCCCTCATTCCTCTGTGTTGACTTGTCCCCCCAGAGACAAGACAAAGGCAGAGGGTCTCTTGGTAGGGATCAGGGATTTAGCGAATCAGGAGGTAATTGTCCCTGTGCTAACGGACCAGCTTTTCCGGAGGTTTTATTCCCATGTCTTCTCAGTCCCAAAGCCTTCGGGGAAATTACAATTGATCATAAAGCTAAGAAGGTTGAATGGGTTCCTGCGGTACATAAAGTTCTGTATGAAAAGTATTTACAATGTACAGAACTTTTTGCTTGGAGTGTTTATGGCCACGGTGAACCTTAGGTATGCCTACCACCATGTTCCCATTGCCCCGAAATACCAAGCTTTCTTACATTTTGTTATATTCACGGAACAGGGGGTCAGTCATTGGCAGTTCCGAGCCCTTCCGTTCGGGCTGGCAGCCAGTCCGAGAATCTTCACCTGTCCTGGCTGGGGTAGTGGCATATTTACACCTTCAAGGGATTTCCCTCATCCCTTACCTAGACGACCTGTTGATCTATGAGTTCTGACAGCAACAAGTTCTGAGAGTCCTGGAAAAAGTGATCCTCACCTCAGAATTTTTGGGGTGGTTTGTCAATCAGGAAAAGCCCTTATTGACTCCCAGACCAAGGTGTTCCTGGGGAACGTAGTGGACCCCAGAAGCTCTTCATACCCCAATAAAAGACTGACAAGGTAGTGGGGACAGTTTCCGGGTTGATAACGGCTCCAGATTGCTCCCAGAGGCACATCATGAGAGTGATAGGATTCATGACAGTCTGTATACCGGCTGTGGAGTGGGCAGTGTTACATTTCAGGGAGCTTCAGTTCTTCCTTCTATCCTCGTGGGACAGGAAAACGGAATCACTGGACGAGAGGGTGTCACTCCCAGAGAATGTAAAAAGACTCGCTGAGATGGTGGCTCAGGCCCCAGAATCTGAGGGAAGGAAGACCGTGGGCACAGTGGGACCCAGTGCAGGGAACCACAGACACAAGTGAGTGGGGCTGGGGAGCTCATCTAGAGGACCGACAAGCCCAGGGCCCATGGGAGCCACACCTAAGGGGGACCACCTCCAATTACAGGAAGTTGCTGGCAGTAGGTCACTCCCTGATGTCCTTCGAAGACCGGATCGGGGGAAACAAAGTCCAAATTCTGTCGGACAATATATCGACAGTCACATACCTTACTCATCAGGGGGGCACCAGATCCCGGAAGCTCCTGGACCTAGCTCAGGAGATTCTAGGATGGGCGGAGAGCAGGGTCCTTTTGGTGTCCGCGGTCCACATAAAGGGCTCATCCAACATGGAAGCAGACTTTCTCAGCTGACCGTTAATCCACCAGGGAGAGTGGGAACTCAATACTGAGGTCTTTTTGCAGCTAAGTCTGTTTTTTGGCAGCCCAGAAATAGACCTTTTTGCCTGCAGGAAAAACAGGAAAGTGATGCGTTTTCTCAGTTTTTTTCAATGTGGAGCAGTGATGCGTTATTTCTCCTGGGAACAGAGGTCTGGGGGTCTGGACGCATTAGCACAGGAATGGGACTTCGAGCTGGCATACGCATTCCCCCCTCTGGCATTGATCCCGCCGGTGCTACAGAAGCTGTACCAGTCAAGCTGCAGACTGATTCTGCTAACTCCGTGGTTACATCGTTAGTCTGGCTGAAAAAAAACAAAAGTCCATCCAGTGCAACCAAAAAAAAAAAAAAAGTTATATTCCCATACCCACAGTTGATCCAGAGGAAGGCAAAAAAACCCAGCAAAGCATGATCCAGTTTGCTCCAGCAGGAGAAAAAATTCCTTCCTGATCCCCCGAGAGGCAATCGGATATTCCCTAGATCAACTTTACCTATAAATGTTCGTATCCAGTTATATTATGTGTATAGGAAAGAATCCAGGCCTTTTTAAAGCAATCCACTGAGCTAGCCAGAACCAACTCTTGAGGGAGTCTATTCCACATTTTTACAGCTCTTGCTGTGAAGAAACTTTTCCGTATTTGGAGATTAAATCTCTTTTCCTCCAGATGTAGAGTGCCCCCTTGTCCTCTGTGATGACCTCAGGGTGAATAACTACACCGAGTTCACTATATGAACCACTGATGTATTTATACATGTTGATCATGTCCCCCCTTACTCTCCTCTTCTCAAGAGAGAATAAATTCAGTTCCTCTAATATTTCCTCATAGCTGAGCTCCTCCATTCCTCTTATCAGTTTGGTTGCCCTTCTCTGCACTTTCTCCAGTTCCCCAATGTTCTTTTTGTGAATTGGTGCCCAAAACTGAACTGCATATTCCAGATGAGGTATTTCTAATGCTTTGTACAGGGGTAAAATGATATCTCTCTCTGGAATCTATACCTCTTTTAGTACAGGAGAGGATTTTGCTCCCTTTAGAAACCGCAGCTTGGCATTGCATTCTATTATTAAGCTTGTGATCTACCAGAACTCCCAGATCCTTCTCCGCCATTGATTCCCCCAGTTATATTCCCCCCCTAGTATGTATGATGCTTGCATATCCTTAGTCGCAAAATGCATAACCTTACATTTATCAACATTAAACCTCATTTGCCACATAGTTGCCCAATTAAACAGTGCATTGAGGTCGGCTTGTAAGTTGGCGACATCCTGTAAGGACGTTATTCCACTGCACAGCTTGGTGTCATCTGCAAAGACTGAAATGGTATTTTTAATCCCAGACCCTATATTGTTTATAAATATATTAAAAAGTAAGAGTCCCAACGCTGAACCTTGGGGTACACCACTAATGACCCTAGACCAGGGGTGGGCAAACTTTTTGACTTGAGGGCCGCAATGGGTTCATATATTGGACCCGGGGGCCGGACCAAGAGTAGATGAATGATGTGTATGTGTCATCCATAGTAAGTATAGTAATATTCCCCCATAGTAAGCATAGTAATTCATCCCCCATATAGTAATTCATCCCCTCATATAGTAATTCATCCCCCATATAGTAATTCATCCCCCATAGTAATTCATCCCCCATAGTAATTCATCCCCCATAGTAATTCATCCCCCATATAGTAATTCATCCCCCATATAGTAATTCATCCCCCATATAGTAATTCATCCCCCATAGTAAATTCATCCCCCATATAGTAATTCATCCCCCATATAGTAATTCATCCCCCATATAGTAATTCATCCCCCATATAGTAATTCATCCCCCATAGTAATTCATCCCCCATATAGTAATTCATCCCCCATAGTAATTCATCCCCCATATAGTAATTCATCCCCCATATAGTAATTCATCCCCCACATAGTAATTCATCCCCCCATAGTAATTCATCCCCCATATAGTAATTCATCCCCCATATAGTAATTCATCCCCCATATAGTAATTCATCCCCCATATAGTAATTCATCCCCCATATTAATTCATCCCCAATATTAAGTCCCCAAGTCCCCCCTGTGTCAATTCACTTACCTTTGCTCCGCACGTTCCTCTCGCCATGTTCCCGCGCCGTTCCGGTGTAGCATGAAAATCTGTCTCCTATGAGGATCTGCCCCCCTCGACGTATCTGCGCATGTGCCAGTTTCAGGCATTAGCAGCCGATCGGCGATCTCCGGCACATGCGCAGATACGTCGAGGGGGACAGATCCTCATAGGAGACAGATTTTCATGCTACACCAGTCTTCAGGGCGGACTGTTAGAGGAGCCTAGCGGGAGCCTAGCTCCGCGGGCTGGATTAAAAGGTCCGTCGGGCCGTAGTTTGCCCATTGCTGCCCTAGACCATTCCAGAGTATGAATCATTAACCACTGCTCTCTGAATACGATCTTTTAGCCAGTTTTCTATCCATTTACATACAGATTTTTTCCAAGCCTGTAGACTTTACCTTACACATTAGCCGTGTGTGGGGAACTGTGTCAATCGCTTTTGCAAAATCCAAGCATACCACGTCAACAGCCACTCCTCTGTCCAAGGTTTTGCTCACCTCCTCATAAAAAGAAATCAGATTTGTTTGACAACTTCTGTCTTTCATGAATCCATGCTGTCTGTTGCTTCAAATATTTTTTCCAGCAAGAACTCATCTATGTGGTCTTTTAAACTCTCCAGTATCTTCCCAACTATAGATATTAAACTAACAGGCCTATAATTACTTGGTAAAAATTTTGACCTCTTTTTAAATATAGGCACCACCTTGGCCTTACACCAATCCAGTGGTTCTCCACTTTGAAGAGGTAGTCTGTGGCTCCCCCACAGCATCTCCCAGTCAGGAAGGATTTTCTCTTGCAGGGGCAACTCGGCACCCCAATACGGAAATTTTTTTGGTTACCAGCTTGGCTCTTGAAAGGGAAATCCTTAGGAGAAGGGTGTGTTCTGAGAAGGTGATACACTCTTCTCCACAGTAAGAAACAGGTGACTAGAAAGATATACGCCAAGGTGTGGGGTGTATTTTTCTAGCTGGTGTCAGGAGAAGGGGGTTGCTCTTCCTGTGATCTTAGATTTTCTCCAGGCAGGGGTGCATAAAGGTATAGCTGTGAACACCCTAAAGGTGCAAGTGGCGGCCTTATCTGTCTATATGGACCATAGACGTGTGTCGGAGCCCCTAGTTAAGAGGTTTCTGGGGGCCAGGAAAGAGTGACCCCCATTAAGTTACATAGTTTTTCTGGCTTGGGATCTAACCTTGGTTTTAGAGGCTTTAACCCAGCCACCGTTTGAGCCAGTGGCACTGGTTTCGGTTAGAATGTTCTCTTTTAAGTTGGCCTTCCTGTTAGCCATCACAATGGCCAGGAGGTTAGGTGACCTTCAGAGCCTGTTGATCAAGGAACCCTTTCTGTTGGTATTAGAGGACAGGGTAGTGCTTAGACAGGATCCTCTTTATTTGCCCAGGGTGGCATCACGTTTTCATAGGACACAAGATTCTTACTGTCCTTTTGTCAAAACCCTAAGAATGGGAGGGAAAAAGGGTTTCATTTTTTAGATGTCAGATGGTGTTTGTTGACATATTTGGATAGAGTAAGTGACTTCAGGAAGTCGAGTCACCCTTTGATTTTGCTTATCGGCCCAAGTAAGGGACAGCAAGCATCTAATCTGACAACAGCTAGATGGATCAGACAAGCCATCTCCTTGGGTTATTTGAAGTCAGGGGTTTCAGTTCCTTTACACCTGAGGGCTCACTCTACTAGATCGCTGGCAACCACTTGGGTGGAGAGGGCCGGAGCATCGATTGAACAGATCTGCCAAGCAGCCACATGGACAAGCCAGGGCACCTTCGTGAGACACTACAGGGTAGACCTGTTGTCACCGCAGGACCTGGCGTTCGGCAGGAAAGTATTAAAGGCAGTGGTCCTACCCTAAGGTAGGCCTGAGTTCCTTACTTCTCTTCTCAGGTGTGCCAGTCTGGAAGATGACTAGAGAAAAGTAACAGTTACACTTTCCGGTAACAGTTTTGTCTGGGAAATCTTCCAGGACGGCAGGCCTACTTCCTGCCTGTGTCTGGTGTTGATTAATTTGAGGCAAAATACCTTTCGTGCACCAGGGTGCGAGAGTTCTCTTGCATAAACTGAGGAGTGGAGGAAAGGGCAGGGAATTTAAACTCTGTAAATTTTTGATTGTTTCCTGTCAAGTGGAGCTAGTCATCTCTTGGGTGTCCCGTCATGGAAGATTTCCCAGAGACAGTTACTGGTAAATGTAACTGGTACTTTTTTGGTTTACGTATAAAATTCTTTTCTTGGAGTAAATCATAGAACACAGGGACCTCATCCCTCTGCCTTTGTGGTTTATGGTTTGCTACAAAAACTAGGGTTTTGCGTAGTTGAGGGACATACTACTTCTTTTTTTTTTTTTTTTTTGTTAGCCCTGAAAAAAAGAACAAGCTATAGTTACCTGGAGATGGTAAATAGTTGTCATACGTAGTTTTACTAACATGCCAAAGTTGCAAAACTGCTTTCAGGAGTTAAAATGTGATTTACCTTCAGGCAATAAGAGGTTAAATAAGTAATAAGATCATTTGACATCTTCAGTTCTTATAGTGGTTTATCTTTATCTCCCTTCCAGGCATACATTAAAATCTATCAAGGTGAAGAGCTCCCTCATCCCAAGTCAATGCTTCAGGTATATTTCAACTTTTTTTTGTTTTTTTTGGAGATTGCAGTTTCATATTTGTTAACTGTATTCCTTATTCTACAGGCAACTGCAGAAGCAAATAACTTGGCTGCTGTTGCTGGAGCCAAAGATACATATAGCAAATACATGGAGCAGGTGAGATTTTTGTTCTCTAGAAACGGACTTTGCTCGTATTGGCTTGCAGTACCCCTGCTATCATTTGTAAAGATGAAATAGCTGAAAGGGAATTTTTAACCATTAAATAAGGACACTGGAGGGTTAACTGCAACTCAAAAATATTTAACACCAGGTCAAACTCGGCGCTATTAGTGACTCGAGTGGCTTAAAGGATAAGTTCACCTTTGTAAAAAAATAAATAAATAAAAGTACCCCTTTTTAAAGGCACAAAACGTGCATTTATTAATTTTTTTTTTTTATTGGCTATGATCCTGTAAAGCATTGCCACACCGATCAACAGATTGCAGGGTGCAATCTCTAGTCCTGTAGATTGTCAGTGTAGCTATCTGCCTGTATCTCGTATGGGCAGGCAGCTACTTAATGATAGGAAGCATCTTTGAACTACCTAGAGCACTCAATAGCGTGTTGGTAGTTAATTGAGCACTACAAGCCGTAAGCTGCAATGACTAACGTTAGTTTGTAGTTCTCCCATTCACAGAACTCTGTGAATGACTGAATGACGCAGTCTTTTTTTTTTTTTTTTAATTGGGACAGCGGATGTAGGGGGAGGATCCCTGGCCCGCTGTCAACGGGGGATAGGGGGTGCTGCATCAGTTACATGTTACACCCTAAATATGGTGTGTAACATGTTAGAAAAGGTAAAACGTATCCTTTACATTAAAAAAATATAAATGAATAAAATTTATTTAATTCAAAAATCAAGCTGCAAAAATGGCAAACTCAATACACAGTTAAAATTGACAATGTTGTCAAAGACACATGGACAGAAGTCCAAAATGTCACTATGGCTTCACAAGGGCACTAATGGTAATCATGCTACCAAATGCCATTAAAGTGGTAATAAACCCAAAACCAGAAATATATTATATTGCCACCTAGCAATCATTAGATGTGGTGGCTGCATCAGTTTTTGTCTGTTTTTTTCCCTGTGTTTTTCACCTGGTGACCTGGCCAGTAACACACCTCCGGTGTTAGTGGGACACAGCTTTGGAGGACTGAGCATTGGAAGTACAGCAGACGGCAGCATTTTCAGCTGGGGGGGAGGGAGTGTTAAATGTATCAGCAGATTTAGAACCACTAACAAATTGAAGCCAAAATCCAGCTCACACTTAATCAGTTACAGCAAACCAGTGTTTCCTTTTGGGATAAAGGTTTTATATGAGTACATAGAAGCTCATCATTTTAATCACCCCTGCCAGTGTTAAGTGGTTTGTCTCATCCATGTAAACTGATACATTTTGCTGGAAAGTTTGTGCAGTGAAAAACTGCATATTTGCTACCAGGATTACCAGATGAAAATAGAAGACCGCAAGGAAACGAATGCAGCCATCACATCTGAATGAATAAGTAAGCTGCAATATAATGTTTGCCTTTGGGTTTAATACTGCTTTAAGGCTAATATGTCAACTAATTGTGCTCCTTTGAATAGCCACGCAAGAATACATCTACCTAAACTGCAGCAAAAACCACTGTAATGTACATACAGTGCCTTGAAAAAGTTTATTTGTAAAACAATTTTTAAAAATGTATCATTTTCCTTCCACTTCATAATTATGTGCCACTTTGTGTTGGTCTATCACATCAAATCCCAATAAAATACATTTACGTTTTTGGTTGTAAAATGACAAAATGTGGAAAAATTTAATGGCTATGAATACTTTTTTAAGGCACTGTATAGTGGCAATGCCAGATATTATCTTGTAAAGGTCTGCAGTATATCCCAAAAAGTGCTCTTGTTTATGCTTTTCCCATCATTTCTTCAGCTTGCATTACCTAATTTTACATTTGGGAGTAGGTGTGAACTGCTCTAAGGTCAGTCAGGCTGCATAACAAGAACATTATTTATTTATTTATTTATTTTTAAATTAGGTGGAAGAAAAGCCTAACTATATATCTTTAAATTACAGTGGTTCTAGAAAAGAATTACCCCCCCTTTAAAATCACATTTTGTTGCGTTGCAGCCTGAAATAGACACACAGGTTTTTTTTTTTTTTTATCCAGCTGTATTCACTCACTGCAACTTATAACATCAAAGTGAAAGAACACAGACATGTCAGAAGAAAAAAAATAAAAAACAGAATCACGGTGTTGGAAAAAGGATCAACCCCTCCTAAAAATGACTTGTAAACTTAATCAAGTGTAGCTAATTACTTTCTCAGTGGCACACAAAGCCTTTGACTTTTAACTGTGATCAGCTGTGGTCATTTTGATTATCTCAACATGAAAAGTGCTTTCCTGGAGCATTTCAGTCTCTGGTAGAGCAACTGAAGCAAACAATCAACTATGGGTGGCAAGGCACTGTCAAGAGATCTCCTGGATAAATTTGTGAACAGGCACAAATCAGGAGATGGATACAAAAAAAAGTCAAAGGCTTTGTCAATGCTTAGAAGCACAGTGAAGTCTATTATTAATAAGTGGAAGGTATTTGGTACAACACAGACCCTCCCTGGATCAGGATGTTGCTCCAAACTGGATGAAGGAGCTAGAAGGAAACTGGTCAGAGAGGCTACCAAAAGGCCTACAGCAACTCTGAAGCAGTTGCAGGGATTCATGACAAAGAGTGGTCATTGTGTGCATGTGACAACAATATCACATATTCTCCACAAATGTGGCTTGTATGTGAGGGTTGCAAGAAAAAAAGCCACTCCTCAAGAAAGGCCACATGCAATCAATACTGAACTTTGGAAAAAAAAAACACCCCTTGAACATTCTGAGGTCACAAGGAAAAAAGGTGTTATGGTCAGATGAGACTAAAATTGAATTATTTGGCCTCAACACCAAACGATGTCTTGTGGTAATCCAATACAGTTCACCATCCAAATAACACCATTCCTACAGTAAATTTCCCAACTTTGTAGGAACAGTTTGGAGATGGCCCCTTCTTGTTCCAACATTATTACACACCACTGCACAAAGCAAGGTCCATAAAGACATGGATGAGCAAGTTTGGGGTGGAGGAACGTGACTGGCCTACACAGACTCCGGACCTCAACCCAATAGAAAACCTGTAGGATGAGTTAAAGCGGAGACTGCGAGCCAGGCCTCGTCTGACATCAGTGGCTGACCTCACAAATGCGCTTCTGGAAGAATGGTCAAACATTCCCATAGACACATTCCTAATCCTTGTGGACAGCCTTCCCAGAAGAGTTTAAGCTGTTATAGCTGCAAAGGGTGGGTCAACTCAATATTGAACCCTACATACGAAGACTGGGATGCCATTAAAGTTCATGTGTATGTAAAGGCAGGTGTCCCAATACCTCTGGCAATAGTGTGTATGCGTGTGTATATATTGACCACTCTGGAAAGGATGTGCTTCTATGTCTAGCATGGTCAGTTTGAAATAGGAAAGCAGAGGGACTGGCAGGATCACAAGGTATTTAACACAGAACAGGTTACTTTTTCACACAAATATATGGCACAACTGACACACATCAAAACTATGAAATGTTGGGGTAACATATTCTTTAAAAAAAAAAAATTTCCTTCCTATCTATTGTGTACTTGATTATTTTTAATCTGCTCTGGTACGGTAACGTGATCCCACAGCTTTGGCTCCCCTTTGTCCGTGAGCTGTTGCTGTAGGGGAGAGGAGGGAGTGCTGACAACGGCTGGACCTTGGTAGCCTATAGGTCATGTCACGGCTCCTGGAATTCAAAGCCATTAGTGAACGCTCCCTGTGGGATCACCTGATTGGACCAGAATTGAAAATGGGTAAGTACACAGATCATTTTGTGCAGGCTGTAGTATACTTTGTACTGTAAAAACTGCTCTGTGTTGACAGCACACTGGAGAGGTGGACTGCTGGTCTCACACAGAGTGCAGTGTTCTGGGTCTCCATCGATCCGACACTCCTCTTTCACAGTGCTTTAACAACAAATCCTATGATCCCTGGGCAGCATCGATAAGAGCACTGTGCAGGAGAAGTGTCAGCCATCTGTGTGACAGCAGCAGTCTGGGTCTCAACTGTGCTGGTGACATTAAACGACTTTTACAGTACAAACCACATATACTTAACCCGCAACCTCAATTTCTTAATCGTTCATCACAAGGACACAGGTCACTTTATATTCATGACTACTTGGGTTATGCCGCCACCCTCAGGTGATTAGACACTGGCCAAAAAAGGCAGGAATCCTTCTCCAGATATAACCCCTTCCAACTCAGCCAAGCCTCAGTTTTTAGCTTGTGTCCTTAGGTGACGGATGTACCTACAGATGTGTCTTTGAAGATCATCTTTGTGGGCTTAGTTATTTATTTTATAAACTATTCTGAAAACCCCTGCTGGTGTAAAGTAGGGCTACTTTCTGTCACGTACAAAGCAGATCGCCAAAAAGGATTGTACCCTGACCTCGCATGCAAGAATGGGAAGGCCTGTAATGCTGCCTGGTAGGCGCTGGATCCTGCGGGCAACGATCTCCAGGGTACTCTGTATCAGGTTACGTCACTGGCAGGGTGCTTTACAGGTTTAGGATAGTGATCCACCTGGGTTGGATTGGACCCAGGGAATCCTGTCATCTGGCAGTTTGTGGAAGATTTTTCCAAGAGAAGAGTTCTCCATGGATTCCTCGAAATACTCCATAAGACAACTTTTGCAGAGTGGGCCCCATTTCTCTCAATGCCAGAAGGATCTTCTCTACAAGAAGTAAATTGTCAGGCTGCCCTTTGTAAGTGGCGACTTGTTTGGATGACTTCATCCTGAAAGTGACTGGGTAAAAGCACAATCTCACCCTTAAAGTTGAAGGCGATGATGACAGCTTTGCAATTGAAGATGCAATAAGCAAAAAGCTTTGGGCTCCAAGCAAAAGCCTATATCCCAATTTTGTAATAACTGTTCCCACAAGTCCTTCAGATCCAAAGGGTTAGTCCTCTTTACTGTGAAAGGGTGCCACCACTCGCACTGGTGGACTCAAGAGTCCATAGAAGCTGGGGCAGCTAGTCTTGTTGCTTTAAACCTCCAT